TTGGTAAACCATGAGGAGACACAGACTAGAGGATACCAATGAGGCAAGTCAGAATTTGTTGAGATAACCTACTTTTAATCTTAACTTCCCAAACTGAAATATACCATCTACCTTAAAGCCTTTATATGCGATTTTTTGATCCAGCAGATGTCGCCCTTGAGCACCAGCATGAAACCAAAACAACTTGCGCTGCATTGTTGTGTTAGCATGCTAATGCTAGCGATCTTTATTATGCTCGTATCGTCACACTGCATGTAAATTTACCTGAAATGAGCGTGATCTAGAAACACAGTTAAGCAGTGAGTACAGTAGGTTATTCTTCTTTTCTCTAGTCCCTCAATTAAACAACTTTAATACGCGAGGGGAGGAGTCAGCCGGCCATCCGGCCGATGTAAACAAACTGAAGATAGGACTCGGAAAACTCTGAAAACATCACAGACAGTGGGACTCGGGTGTTACACCCATTGTAGACAGTCATGACTCACAGAGTTATTTTCAGAGGATATATTTGATTTCTATTATATTTAAGTGTGAAAAATCACATATGAAACCTTTAAGAAGATACACAGTGTGTGGGAGTTTTTGATGAATTCATTAGCCTCCTAAGCATCTATCTTATGAAATAAAGGTCTAAAGTATTTCTCTCTTTCAAACTTAAGAATAAGAAGTTCAATGAGCAGGTGTAAAGTAGGAGAAAAAGCCAAAATAGCTCTACTAAATCCAAACAAAACTTCATTGAATTGATGTTAAAGTTGCCTTGATCCAATAAATATGTTATCACTAAGCTAGATTTTTGCTGCTTTGTAAAAAAACAAAAACAAAATGCATTCAGTCAAATCTTCAACCAGTAATCCCCTAACTCCCTTCTCTGTAAAGGCCAGTGTTCAACCAACAGCCGTACTGCGAGGTGCAGGCAACAGAAAAAACAACTTGTTCAAAATAAGCCAACACAAAAGAAGAGAAGCCAGGTATGTTGTTAATCAGAAAAGAAAGGAAAAAAGGGACAAGGAGAAGGAGGCTGCTCTAAAAACACGGAAGAAAGCAAGGGAATGGTTGAAAGTCAATAAACAGAAGGGAATCAGAAATGAATAAACAAATAAATAAATACCAGTCCAGAAAGGGGTCGGTAGCGTTGTGACACTCACTGTGTACTTTGTTGCTGAGGAGGGAAACAGCTGGTGAGTGAGATGGCACGAAAGAACAGAAGGAGGATTTCATTCCAAAATGGGCCAAAAAAAAAATTCTGCTAGCTATCCCTCGAAAAAAAAAAAAACGCTCACAAATCAAATTAAAAAAGCGATGGTCTTTTGAAACCACTGAAGTTACAAAAAATATAAATCGTGAAACGGAAAAAAAAAAAACAGAAGGAACGTCAAAATTTTTGTTCAGCATTTTGGAATGCAACCCTTTACACAAACAGGAAACACACAGACACACCCGTTCTCTCACCCGGTCACATATGCAGAAACATCGTATCTGTAAAAATCTGAAACAATCGCAGATTCTTCTCCTCTCAGCGCAGTCTCACATATTTCATCTTTCTTGCATCAGTCACTTCACTTTCCCCCCTGCATGACCAGCGCTGGTCCATCCTGATCACCCCTTTCATCTTTAACAATATCTCTCTCATGTCATTTGGTCTTCTTCTGTACCAAACCTTTAATCAAAGATTGAACTTGAAATGTTCTCGCTATCGTTTCACCTTCAATGAGTCTCCAGTTCTACAAAGTCTCCTCTTCTGTCCCTACTTCCCCCCTAGTGTTTTTTTTAAACTTCATCTTTACGTTCTATAGAAAATTCCTCCTCTTTTATATTCCTCTGGCAATGACATGTAACACAACAAAAAGCATTTCCTCACTGTGAAAACTGTCCTGTGTGTGAACCTGACCTAACCTAACTAAAAATATGATTTATTCATACTGAAAGACTACTCCGATGAGGATAAACACCTAAAAGTTGACCTAAAGTCATAGGGAAAGCTAACTCAGATGAGGTTAAAACTTATGGATTTTTAAGTGCTCTGCATATGTGTCGTCATTTTAAGAGATTTAGTGATCGTTCAACAGACTTGCATGGGTTTTATGCAGGTTTTTATGGCACTCTCCGTCCTAAAACAACCACAGCATATCTTCTCAAGAGATTCTTCATGCTCCACTGATGTCCCAAAATTTAAAATCCCTGCTTGGAAATCTCCACTGGAAGTTTTTTCCATATTTCTGCTACAGGAAGGAGGGCTCACACTGATACAGTTACTGATACAGAATGCAACGCACACTGCAGGCACACATCACTACAGTGTGTAAAAAAAATAAAAATAACTTGTATTTCTTTCAAACATCCTTGGTAATACATCAAGGTTCTGGTTTAGTATGCAACATTAGCTTTAAGCTACATGAACACACACGGGCCTGATTCACTAAGACTGGATTGTGCCCACTAATTGTGCATCATTTGCTCCCGCCATCTGCTCATTCTTAAGGTCTAATTCACAAGGCAAATACTGCCGATGATATTAAGGCAAAAACAGACCCAAAAAGTTTAAAAATGTACGCATGGATAATCAGCGCTGGTGTTTGTGGATCAGTTACTTTTTGCAGTGAGATTTTGCACAGAAAAAAGAGAATTTTCCTTTAAATGACTTCATATTGGCTCATTTAAATACATGCAAACAACACTGGCGCACTGAGACACTGTTTGCTCTTTAGCGCCGGTATGGGTGTGTTTAACCCTTTGTGGGGTTTTGTGAATTAGATGTCTTTTTGATTCGTTTGCAAAGGTTTAGCTGGTGGAAAAGCTGTGCAGTCCATGGTGAATCAGGCCTTTGGTCTTCTCTCTATCTATCTATCTCTCTCTTTCACACACACACACACACACACACACACACACACGCGCGCACACACACACACACACACACACACACACACACACACACACACACACACACACACACACACACACACACACACACACACAGAGACACACACAGATACATGTGCATTGTTTAATGATACATAATTAATATTATTGGGTTCCTGAAGAAAGTTCACAAGTTAACTGAGACACGGAAACGAATGCTCACAGACCAGTGAAGTACAGAACACACAACATATTCAGTAACAACAAACAGATTCACAAAACCATGAGCTTGCTAGGAGCTCTGACACTTCTGTGTGTGTGTGTGTGTGTGTGTGTGTGTGTGTCCGTAATAATATGTGTGTGATATGAAGTGGACAGAGGCTGATGTATCAAAGCGCTAAAGGTCAGACCTGTGTGTTGTGTGTGTGGTGTTTCTGAGCACACTCTGGCACCCTGCTGTGCCTTTTTAGGGACAGACCACAGCGAGGTATGCATGTGTGTGTGTGTGTGTGTGTGTGTGTGTGTGTGTGTGTGTGTGTGTGTGTGTGTCTGTGTGGAGAGTGTGTGAACTTTAGCAGGAGTGAAAGGATCAACCCCTGTGTGTATACAGAGAGAAGAGATCAAAGACTCGGACTCTCCTGACCGGAGGAGGGCTCGCCCAGATCAATCCAACACTGGCTTGTGTGTGTGTGTGTGTGTGTGTGTGTGTGTGTGTGTGTGTGTGTGTGTTTAAATATACACAGTAGAATAGGACAAAGATACATCAGAATAGTACAAAAGTTAAGCTTGAGCTATGAATGTAAACACTGGATGAACTCCTTTCCATGCAGTTAAATATTATTTATAAAATGATGAAGCATATGAGTTGTGAAACTAAATGTTTGTATATAACCTCTGTTATGAGAATTGACCCTTTGTCAAGCCCCGCCCTCCTTGGTTACTGTTACTAGGTTAGACAAAAACACCATCACCGGGCTCCGCCCCCTTTTGAAACAATTCCGTCGAGATTTGACAGATTTTAATTTATCTAACTGGACAGCCCAACAACGGTTTCTATGGGAGGGAGCTCTCTGACTGGTGAATCAACAAAGGGTCAATTGAGTGAAGACACATGGCGCTGATACTTACGCCTCTGTTCCACCTCACGTTCAAACACATGTCAACGTGTAACATATGGCGGCGGAATAGCGGGGGGGAAGGTGTTATGCCCCTGATTCGCTATTGGAGGTAGTAACAGAGGCCGAATGGGGGGATGACTGTGCCATGTGCAATGTCGGAGCTGGTGAGGTGGAACAGCGCTGTGTGTGTGTGTGTGCACGTCTGAGTGTGTGTGTGTGTGAAGCTGCCACCGTGTGCCTCTAGTTTCTCTCGCGCTTCTTGGGCTTTCACAAAATGGGACATCAACATTACTCTATTACAGATGCAATTTGTAAGGAGAAGGGCGTAATGAAGTTGAAACTTCGTTAAGGTCTTGTTGAGGAATCACAATCTGTAAAGGGCTCGGGATGTTTTTTACCTTCCGGATTTCCTCATACAGCCTTCCCATATCTAAAGTAGCTTCCAATTAAACATCCTTACTTGAATTTATATTTCATTTTCTTTTGACTCAATGTTATTTATCTTAAAATACTTTTCCTTTTAGGTTTTTCCTACAGCGTATCGTTTATCTATTATCGTTCTAAAACATGATGATTCTACAACCTCTGTTGTTTTGAAGAATTTGAAACATTTGGTCAGAATTTGCAGCAGTGACAAAACAGTTCAGGCCAGTGTGGTACCAAACTAAAGCAGCGTGCTTTAGGTTTGTATCAACCTGTGTCAGGACACTTTGCCTTCTCCAAGCGGCTGAATGAGCGTCTTCAGAGATTTGTGCCAAGATGTTTGTTAAAATGGTGTGGAAATGTTTTGAAATGGGTATGAAATGAAATGAAAGTGCAGATACTCACGCTGCAATGGAGAGGTTTGCAGCGGACAGCGGGCTGACTTCGGCCCCCTCCTTGGCCTTCTGCAGGGCGATCTTCTGACTGGCAGCCTCCTCTTCCTCCTGTTCGTCCTGCAGACCGACAGAGAGAAGGAGAAGGAAGGAAATCAAAAAACAATGAATGAGCGAGACGGGAAAGATGCAAATGAGGGTAAAGTGAAGATAAGAAAAAAAATCCTCCCTAAGAAGCATAACTCTTTTTCAGAATTTAGACAAGAAATTGGACTGAGATTTTGAGTTAAAAATGGACTGTACTGTACCTTGGTCAGCTCCTGTGCATTAGCCAAATTGTCCACAGCGATGGCCAAGAACACATTCAGCAGAGTGTCTGAACACGGAGTTAAAGGAGATCCAGCATGTAGGAGCTGTAAAAGTCTAATGAGTTGGCTAGAACACTTGGTTAACTTTAATTCTTGGAAGATTGAAATGTTGGAGGGATGACAAAACAACCAAGGTCATTCAAATATGAGCCATAACTCAGATAAACTAACAGTATCGGTATCTAACATCTACATTTAAAGGAGCAATAAATATCTCTGACACCTAGTGTTTAAAATGGGTACTGCAGAGAGCTGTCTCCCCCCGCCCCCTCCTCTCTAGAGTCGATGCTCATGCAGGTCACCATGTGGTGGACACTGAAGCTTCAGTGTTTATCCAGCTCTGCATGGGTCTGTAAACCTTTCTGTGTTCTAACCTCTCTCCATTTTTCAAAAGCATCTCCAATATTGATCCTAGTTTGAGCACGTTTCTGCTCATGGAGCTTATTAGAAACATGCAGAGGCTTTTTAGGTCGGGTACAATCACTTCTATCTGAACCAGTTCTCTTGCCCGCTTCCATCGCTGCAACACCTGTTGACCTGATAACTGCTCTCATATCTGGCAAACCGAGGGGCGTCCAAAACGGCCGTGTGGGGGGTAGCCTTAAAGGGCCCATATCATGCTTTTTCTGGTTTTATATGCTCTTCAGTGTGTTTTCCAAGTGTCCTGTGCATGTTTAGGCACATCTATTTGAAAAAATTCAAAGTCTGCGGTAATGCGGCTTCTCCTATGTCCTACTGTTAGCTGTAGCATTAGCTGCATGTAACACTCGGTTCTAGCCCCCCTCAAAAAAAATTGTCAGTGTGATGTCTTGTCAGTGTGATATCACTGATCTAAGCCCATTAGCTCGTTGTGGCAAGCCCAGCAGCTCATGTTGTATGCCCGTTAACTTCTGTGGCACGCCCACGATGTGCCGTAGCCTGCGGTAGCACAGTAGTGCTAAGGTGCTAATGTTTTTGCTCCCCGGCCCTCGGAGCCAGAGTGGCTGAGCGACTGACCAATTACAGCACAGCAAACAGGCCGACCAATCAGATCAGACTTGGCACATGTGGGGACTCTGAACATGGGCACTTCAGAGCCTTAGAGAGAGAGTCAGAAGCGAGCCGGTGCATGGAGCGGCAATACATGAAAACAGACACTTTTTTCGAACTTTAGCTCTTGTGAACATACTTTAGTAGTTACATAGATTAAATATACGAACCCCAAAAAGGGCATAATATGACCTCTTTAAAAGCGCCTACCTTCTCTGGTCCAAACAAATCCAGAGCATTCAGGTCCAGAATCTAAAGTTAGAAGGAGGGTTCTTTATCATTTCACTCACAACACATCTTTACATGTTGCTCCTTTAAACTTCCTGCAAAAGTCTTCATTTTAAGTATTTGTGTGAATGTTTTGTGTATTGCGTTTCAGTTGCCAAGGGATACAGTTGCCGAAGAGTGTGAGTACGATGAAGAAGACAGAGAAGGCCATGCCCTTGTTGACTCCGCCCTGAGATTCGATGCCGTCGTACATCACCATGTTCCAGTCCTCACCTGTCAGGATCTAACAAACACACATTAAAGTGTTCAGACGAGGTCAAACTCTACTCCAGGACATGTAGGGATTTGATGATGTTTGTACATAGAGGATACAAATAAACACACTAAAGGCTTTGGTCAAACACACACACACCTGAAACATGGTGAGCCTTAACAAGATAACATGTTTGACTAATGACATTTAAGAATTCAAAAGGACATGTTTTATCACTTCCTCATGTGCAAATCCTCTTTAGTCTTTTAATCGGTGACTCCTAATCCAGCACTCCTCTTCTTCTCCCAGAATCTCGCCCTCCCCCCCTCCACCAGTCTCCCTCCCTCCCTCTTTACATCGTGTCCTTTGCTCACCTGGAACACTGTCATTATTGCTGCCGGGAAGGTATCAAAGTTGGTCGGAGGAGTGCCTTTTAAAAAATTAAACCTGGCAGGGGGAAACAAATCGAATGAGAGAGGCAGACAGGGAAAAAAAGAGAAGAGAGAAAATCATTACTTAAAAAAAAAAAAATGACAAAAAAAAAAAAAATGACTTAGCCAAGCGGGCAATTAACAGAAACCAATCTCTTTGTGGAAAATCAAATGAGGACTATTAGAAAGGAAAGGAGAGAGAGCGGTAAAGGAACACTGACTGTCCTCCGAAGAGCTGCATGCCCAACAGGGCAAAGACGACGATGAAGAGGAAGAGCAGGAAGAGCAAGCTGATGATGGACTTCATGGAGTTGAGCAGAGAGACGACGAGGTTACGCAAAGATGCCCAGTACCTGATAGAAGAAGACACAAAGTGTGTTTTAAATAACGTCTCTTTAACGACTCAAGAGAAATAATACGAGACGTCGCAAACAGAAGACTCACTTTGTCACTTTGAAGATCCTCAATAACCTGAGAGCTCTGAGCACACTGATGCCAAACGATGTGCCCGGCTGGATGATGGACCACAGCACCTCAAATATACTCCCACATATCACCTACAACACACAAAAAGCACGTGCATGCATCAGTTTCCATTTTGGCAGATATCTTCATTATTAGTCTCTAGATAAAAAAATGCTTATTAGTTGAATTCACGATTAGTCATTTTTACTCTTTAGAGTTTTAGACATCGATGACATCTCAAAACTTTTAGTCACATTTTAGTCAATATATTACTGCACCATCAACACTAGTCCTTTAACTTCAAAGAGATGAAACTACGATAAACTATAAATAATGAAGTAAATTCACATTTTTTACTTCTACCCCTGGTTTACATTTTAGCACAGAAGAGCTGCAGATTTAACCTATCAAACTCCTTTTTATACTTTCTTACAAAGAGCCTTGGCCTTCTACGGTTACTAATAATGTGATATCATGCACGCTAACGTTAGCTCGTTAATGCTCGTCAACGCGTCAGCTGGTGCAGACACACTTGCCTCACTCTTTCCTGTATTTTAACAAACAGAATAGATGCACAGTGGGGGGAAATAAAGTGAATTCTGGATGTCCGACAGTGCAGCATTGTTAGCAAAAAGAAAGTGGGCCTATGTGTTTTTATTATCTAATATCTATTTTTAGCACGTTGTCTTTTTGTCGTCGTCGTTAAAAAAAAAAGATAGTTGGTGAACATTTCCCGTCATATTTTTTGTAAACAAAATTAACGGTGACATGCATTTGGTTATTTTTCATGATGAGCAAACAATTCAGCAAAGGAAGGCAAGTTTTTTTTTTGCATGTGCGTGAATTCTGACACTATGCTACAGTATGTCACGTGTGTGTGCACAGGTGTGAGCTGTATTTTTGCACTTGTTGAGATTTCTCTTGCATGTGTGTGGAGAGTGTCTCTGAGTGCTGCTGTGGGACTCACAATGCAGTCGAAGCAGTTGAAGGAGGAGTTGAGGTAGGCCTGCTTGCCCAGGCCGTACATCTTCACCATCATCTCCGTCAAGAATATCCCCAGGAAGATGAACTCAGCAAAATCTACATTGAGGGAGGAAGACGAGGACAGAGGAGGAGGATAAGCTCAAAAAGTGAGAGAAGACCCATCAATCACCTGCAAAGTATCCACCCACCCATCCATTCATCCATCCCCCCACCCACCTATCCATCAATCCCTCCTGAATGTCTGTAAAGCGAGGCAGTGCTTTATTAATGCACATCTGTAAGTGTGCTTCTAAAAAAAGAAAACAGTTCTTTGTAGTTTGAATTAAAGGTGTAATTTAAAATAAGCAGAGACATGTTTTCACTCATCCTCAGGACTCGCTGTGTTGCTTTGTTGCCATGGTTACACCATTTCAATAAAGGATAAAATAGTAATCCAACATTTTTTTCTTATTTAATTTCACTTCATCCCATATGTGAGTGTCTGTAAACAAAACACACAACAAAGCAGAGACTCTGTTTAAAGACGACACTGCATGTTTATCTGTGCTGCTGTAAAATAGTTGGGTCAGCTCTTTTCGTGGATTTAGTCACATTTACTTAAGAATTTGCTCACCCACTCCCTCCCAGTAATCTGCGATGAGAGTATTTGTGCATTCGTGGAGGTAATCCGCACACGTTCGCTCTAAATAGGCCTGTTTCTCTCTCTCTCCTCCTCCTACTCACATAGAAAATCTGAAAGTGGATCCGGCTGGTCGTAGTGCACCGACGCCACACACATCGTGTTGAGTCCCACCAAACACAGCACGGTCCAGTAGAAGGCCTGGGACTTCACCACGTGCCGGATTAAGAAGCGGAGCCGCCGCTCCCTCCGCTTGAAGGTCGATCCTTCCAGCTTGGAGCTCTTCAGGCTGGCACGAGCGAACGGCGAGCCTGGAGACACATTGTGCATTATTATCATTACAAACAGAATGTCACTGGATTGGCACAGTAATGTTCAACGTTCTGTTCGTCCTCAGCTTCATGATCAATGCAACTAAGATCAGTCAAATCAAAATGATGCACTTCAGCAGCATCGTGACAAACAGATGCATAAATAATCACGCGTACAGTCAGTAACATGGCAAGTCAAGTGTGGGGGATAAACGGATTAGCTGGTACATTTACTGAAGAATAAATATCTCAGCCTGCTTTCAGGTAACTGTGACACTCTGATACAGCTGGCACAGGACCACACTTACCCACACCACAAGTTACTCTCTTGTGCTTTTTTGTAATTCTCATAACAAATGAAGGCCAAGGCGATTATTTAATATACTGACTGATTGATTATCTTTAAAGGGATACTTCACCCGCTGAAACATGAATCTGTATTGACATTGGGTCATATATGTAGTAGAAATTTGAAATACATTTTGAAGTGGGTGCCTTCTTAGCCGAGAAAAGGCAGATAGTGTCTTTTTGGCTCATGTGGATGAAAGACACAAAATCCCACAATGCACAGCACCGCAGGCCACTCCCACTAAGGTCTGGATTTTTAAATGCCACATCAACATGGCTGGTTTAAGCTAGTTATCGCTCATGACTGACGCCGTCACTCACAGCTGTAGGGCAATGAGAAGACACGGAGACCGCTTGGAACACCGAGGCTCAAAAGTAGCCGAAAGGTAAATGAGATTTGAGGCGGAGTCGTGATCTTAATTTGAAGAGAATGGTCATCAAACATTTGTCATGCATCAAAGGAATACGATGTCTCAGGTTGTTATTAGGTCATAAGGGCAGGTGAGACCAAAGACAGGGAGGAAGTAAGCGGGGTCGAGGACAGTAACACGAGGAGAGAAGGAGAGCAGCAGAGGACACAGAAGGGAAGGAGAGGAGGGTCAGGTAATGCTGATCTGCACGATTAGATATCATCTGTATGTTCCTGTGACTCGCCTTTGTGTGTGTGTGTGTGTGTGTGTGTGTGTGTGTGTGTGTGTGTGCGCGCAGGTCTCTTACCGACTGCCAGGTCTCCCTCTCCTTCCTCGGGGTTCAGAAGCTCTGCTTTGCTCTTGTGGTTCTTCGTGGCTCTCCTGCGGGAGCCTGAGATGAAATAATGCAAAAGTTAAGTCTTTAACAAAACAACCCTCACATGCTCGACGTGTAAATCGTTTTAGGATTAAATTATATACCGTCGTAATCGTTCTCATTGTCATCATCCGCCAAAATGACCTCCTCTGTAAAACACACAGGAACAACAACATGTGTGATTATTGTACACAGACTCTTAGATGTGTCTTTGATGACTTCTACAATATCTGTAAATATTTAAATCAACCATCACCAAATCATTTTCCTTTAATTCAAACCTGCTAACAATGTCTGCGTCCTGCACCTGTGCCGCTCACTCACCCCTTCCTCCTTTGTGTGTTTTTTTTTTTTTTGCTTCCTTGTTTTTATGTAGATTGTGTTTTCAGGGAGATCAAAGGTCTGTCCTTTCTATCTGCCCCTTTATCTGCTCCTTCCAGCATCCAGCCTCTGCATCCCTCTAATCTTCTCCTCATCTTTTTTGCCCTCAGCAGACCGACCAGAGAAAAACAGCTGATCCTCTCATCAGAAGATCGTCTTTAATCCAACACGACATAAATCAAGGCTTTAATTTAAGTCCGTCAGCTTGTTTGTGTAACCCTGAAGGAGAACTCTACCTATACTCTGGTACTCAGGGGGTTAACCAGGACCATCAGATTTAGGGATTTAAGAACAATAACTACAGGCTTGTGTACTGTGCGACGACAGAATCAAACAGATATTCATTATTTAAATAGAATTGTGTCTTTGGATTGTAAGAAGTGCTGCACAAACCAGCTTTGCAGATCCACTCCAGATATCCGTTCAGTTCCCTCTCGATCTGCTGCTGTCGCCTGAGCTTCATGAACTCGCTCCTGTTCTCCACACGCTCTCTCTCTTTGGCAAACTCCCTGCAGGGACACACACAATCACGCACACACACACACACACATTTTATTAGATACCTTTCATCTTTAGTGGGATCTTATAATCATATACAATAAACCCAAAACTTTTAATGGTTAAGAAATTAAAAACTATAAATCACACACACACACACACACACACACACACACACACACGTACACACACACACACACACACACACACACACACACACACACACACACACACACACGCACACACGCACACACACACGCACACACACACACAAACTTACCCAGACAAAACACCCAGCACCAGGTTGAGCATGAAGAAGGAGCCGATGATGATAAGGGGGATGAAGTACATCCAGTTCCATGCACTCCCTGAGGCATCGTTGCTCTGGAAACACACACACACACACACACACACACACACACACACACACAGACATCAGACATCAGTAATCAATGGTTCGCTCTTCACCTCTGAATGTTTATATAATAGCATTTTAAGCTAGCAGAAACCTAATTCTAATATGAGTCCCGCCTCTGAAAAGCCAAATGGTCAATCATAAAATAGAATTTTGGGTGGCACTAGGAGTGCCCGATTAGATTTCAGGTGGGGTCCATGCCACCCATGTGGTTACGCCCCTCCGGTGTGAGCATAATGTTAAAAGTTTGCTGTTCACACACACCACATGTCCAGACAATGTGGCGGCAAAAAAAAAAAGGAGGAGATTTCAAATGTGGTCCTGGAAACATAAACAACAGCAGGGCTGGCATGGTTTTGCTTTAAGTCATCTCAATAAGTGAATGCATATCTGCCACTCTATTTAGCTGCTCAGTGCAGAGTGAATTATGTATAACGACTGCTTTCATCTCTGCCTCTGTGTCCCTGCTGTCCACACTCTCCTTCCACTTTTTTAAATCACGCTTTGTTGTCTTCTTTGTTCTTCTCAAACTCTCCTGCTTTTTTTTATTCCTTTTGTAATGTTCCTCTTTCCTATGTTCCCACCTTTCTTTTTTTATTCCTTTTGTAATGTTCCTCTTTCCTATGTTCCCACCTTTCTTTTTTTATTCCTTTTGTAACGTTCCTCTTTCCTATGTTTTATGTGTATCATTCCATCCCTCCTACCTGTCACAGATCAGCCTCCATATTGATTCCTCATATTACCCTTTCCCACCTCCAGACCCCCTTTTCTACATCCCACATCGCGCTCTATTTCCCACATCGCGCTTTGACTGTCGTCCCCACGTCTCCTCCTTCCTCCATCTTTCCTTCTTCCTCCACGTAAGCTGCCGTGCACCCAATGCACCGCAGACCCTTTTTTCTACCATTAAACTTTTATCGTTCCCCTCCCCGGCAGCTGCAAGAATAACTTGGGCTGAACAGGCCCTTTTTAAATATAGAGCAGCACCGGGAAGGAGGGACACAGGAGGAGAGATGCAGAGTGAGCGGGAAAGAGAGGAAGGGAGGGAGGAAGGGAGGAAGGGAAGGAGAGAGGGAGGGATGCAGAGAGGGGAGGAAGATGAGAGAGAGGGAAAAAATAAGGAACAAAGAAAGAAAAAGAGCAACAAGAAGAACTGAGAGAGGAGAGGGGAAAAGGGACGACTACAGTAACACTCAAAGACCCTCATCTACCTCCGGTCTCCAAGCAACCGTTGCCACTGACAGCAGGGAACGATTCAGTCCTGAGCATGAGTAATGACACTGTGCAAGACCTGGTTCCTATTTTATGGGTGGATGCACACTGTGAACAGGTGAAAATCATTAGAGTTTTTGTTCCATATTTGAGAGAAAAAAAAAGTCCTCTCAGTTGGTTTGGCTTTTTAAATAGAAACAGTGTTGACAGACGTGTTGGAGAAACACACGCTGAAGTTCAAGTGCATTAAATACATACTCATTGCTTTCTCCAGCCAGCAGTCGTGTGATAATTGTACCTGCACAAAATGGCTCCCACATTAGTCAATAACAGAAATGCTAATGTGAACCAAAGCAAAACGGGGTCAACATGAACAACAAACTAACACTGCATCATTTCCACTTCAAACTCCTCCTCTCAATCGGATAAGAAGTGATTGCTGCTGCAGCTCATCCATGACATGAATGATGGTTTTTCACGATTGGTTATTATCTTCTTCACTTGAATGATCCTATTAGAAGGCCAGATCAGGCGACAGGAGTTTCAGGGTTTGTACTGGATTTTGTTATTCCTCACTATCAGGGGAGGAATCTGGTTTGGACGCTCTGTGAGTCTCAACGTTTGGTGAAGATTATCTGTTAATGTCAGAGGCCTTTAAACTCCCGCATGGCTCACAGACTCATCCAGGACATCCTAAATATGCTGAACATGTTTGATATCCAGAACCTGGTTGTTTAAGGGGTCAAATCTGGAGAAGAAAAATCCAACTTTTTTTGCTCGCCATGATTAGGTTATCCAATCCAATAGTTTTAATCTGAACTGTTTGAACAAGTGGGGATTTAAATTCAGAGGGGTACCGCAGCACTATTCATTTCGAATTATATTCATGGTCTGCTAACAACATACTAACGGTCGGGTTAATGTGCAGAATATATATTTTGAATATGCAGTAGGCAGTATGTAGTATGTGGTTTTGTGTGCATGTTTGAGATTAGACAGAAGAATGTTTAACATGACCCTACAGACTCCGAGACCTGCAACTCTCAACTGTGTCTTTGCAATCAGAAAATGTGATTCTATGAGTTGTGATATGTTGGTTCACAGCAGACTGATTTACTTTTTACTTTGCATTAAGTTCCTAAATCCCTTCAGCGGTACCTGTTTTCTTCAAATTCTTCTTTCTCTGAACAGGCAGATTGTAATGTGTTCTTTTAAAATGTTGTAGAAAATCTGGTCCGAGCTCGGCTCAGAAGTATTTACCCAGTAGAGCAGTTCGGTCCAGCCCTCCATGGTGATACACTGGAAGACGGTGAGGATAGCAAACAGGATGTTGTCGAACTGTGTGATGCCGTAGTTTGGCCCCAGCCAGTACTGTCGACACGTGGTGCCCACCGGACACAGCCGAGCCGGGGCCTCCGTCCCACATGGGAACTCTTCTCTGATGTCACCTGGAAACAGATGATCGTTTTAAGGTATATACAACCTAACACGATCATGAAACAGCTAAATAATTTGACCTGTGTAAATCTTGAAAACATGGCGTCCATCTTGAACACTGAAAATGTTTTGTAGTTTAAATGAAATGCACTCAAACTCAACCTCCATAAAAGGAAGGGTAAAATCATACAAATATAAGCAAGGACTCTGCAGAAACTACCTTTCCCATTAACTAAAAACATGAGGGAACTCCTTCAATCAAACAAAATCAAAAAAAAATTATTTGTTGAATGTCCTTGAATTTCTTTTTAAGTATTGCAACTTTTTAGAGTCTATCTGGACCAGAACAGGATCCGCCGTCACTGGTGCAAACAGTTAGTCCCTGAACACACCATTGGTAAACATACACACGCTTCTTTACCTGTGTGATTGTCAAAGCACGTCGTGTGAAATTTGCCCATGTAGAACTCCAGGCCGATGATGGCAAACATGAGGATGGCGAAGAAAAGAAGCAGGCCGATCTGCAGCAGCGGGATCATGGCCTTCATGATGGATTTGAGCACCACCTGTAAGCCTGGAGGACACAGCGTACTTTTAATAATAATGCTGCAGCCAGTGGAGGAGACTGTGTGCTGTATTTTAAAGATGAACTGAATCTGTTATCCCACGGTAATGTGTGATAGAAAAGTCAAACAAAGCACCTATTTCACATTTATCAAACGCAACCATCTTGGTGTAAACAACTCATGAAATGTTTTGGTTCTTTTCTTAAATGTATATATACTGGAATAGAACTTTATTTAGTTTTCAAAAAGGCAGCTGGATGACTTTTATGATGAGTAAGCATGGTGTGCCTGTTCAGCTCTGTAGTGGCGTCCGAGCTATTAATATCCCTGAAGTGGTGCTGGAACACTACTGACATTATAACATTTTAAAAAAAAGGAGCAGAGAGAGCACAGAAGAACCACTTTTATTTCAACACTTTGGGTGCATAATGCAGAAAAAAAAAAACACAGAAGCTGCAGAAAAACTGGAACTGGAAACGCTCCACGGTGCTATTTTGATCCTGCAGCAGTATTTAAAGCTTTCTAGAGATTTCTAACAAAGACACGGTTTGGGATTTTAAAAAAAGTCGTAATTTTTTTGTGAAGAGTGATGACTTACTGGGAATACCGGACACCAGTTTGAGGGGCCTCAACACTCGCACAGCCCTGAGGGTCCGCAGATCAAAATCTGAGCCCACAGTGGACAGGATCCTAAAAGGGGAGAGAGAAACGTGCACAGAAGTGTGCACAGACAATCAATATTTCAGCTAATCAAGCTTGTAGCTGTCAATCAGCCTCTCCTTGTTTCCCTCTCTCTCCTCCGTACACACACTTTTTATTTTTTCTTCAAAAACACACACACTTAAACACAAACCAGTGCCAGGTCATTACAAGCGGGAGGGTGCGCACTGTCTGTATGTAAATCCTGTAAGAGCTGAGCTGATCGATGCAGCTGACAAGTGAAGTCGGACAGAGAGAGTGTATCAAGACGAGAAAGGGATGGGCTGAAGGGAGAGTGTTTTGTGTCGGGATGACAGAGGGACTACAAAATGAAAAAGGAGAGATGGACCAATGGGGAGGAGCGGGGGAGACAGGAGGGCCGAGAGAGAGAGAGAGAGCGAGTGGTGGCAGATTGTGAGAAGCAGAAATGCTGACTTGCTTGTTTCTGCTTATTTTCATTCTAGGTATGTTTGAAATGCTCCTCTTGAAGCTGTCACAAGACTGCAGAGTGAACGTATAGTGGTGAGTGTTGTATCACCTGCATCAACGCTCATAGTCGGAATAATCTTATTTTAATAAAAAAGTGTAAACACAGCATGTGTGTGCGAGTGTGTGTTTGAGTGTGTTCGCTCGAGAGGGTTAAGATGTTCCCTCGTCCCGCCAGACTTCCAGTCAGTCCCATCGTCTGACGCACACTGTGAATCATCCTCCCTCTCTCCGTCTTTCTCTTTCTCGCTGACACATTTCCACTCTCCTCTGTTCCACTAAGAGGCCCGGTGACACAGCAGAGCCTTAATCACAGGTTTGAAGTCAGTCGGCTTTGCTTGGAAACCTTCAGTATTGGCAGGCGGGGAGAGGTAACAGCAGCCCAGGATGTATGGGTGGAGAGTTCCTCCTCTATGGATGTATCCTGTATTACATTACCAGGAAGCCCCCCCCCCCCCCCAACTGGTGTGGCCTGGGGTCCTTGTAATGACATTGTGAAATATCAAATGCCTGATCAGTTGCTGACTTGTAACTGAGACATTCCCTGTTTTGGTCACGAGGATATAAACTGTACTTATACAGCTAAAATATTACGGCTTTATGAGCAACTCACTGAATGTTTTATTATGACTCATGCAAAGATATATTTTTGGAAAGAAGCCTTTCGGATACATGAGTGTAAGTGACGGTCAAATTAGAGCTAGACTGAAGGAAGTTTAATGTGTCAGTATAGCAAGAGAAAATGTGAAAACACATGTTAAAGGTCATTTAGTGTCTCCATGACAACAGTTTATATTTCACCTTTTGTAAAGAGTAACATCGCCAACACTCAAAAGTACATTTTGTGAATTTTTCCTTAAATTTTGAGCGACATGGTTTTTGACGTTTCAGATTTATTCTCTTTTTTAATGAATCTTTTCCAAACCTTAGAATACACATTAGTCCTTTTCAGACTGCTTTATTTTACAAAAATGTCATAACTAAGCTCAGCCGTCATCACGTCTTTGTACATTCATATTGATTCCGCGTTGCCGTAAATATTGTTGTCCCAGTGTGTGAGCGTCACGTCGCGTTTCAGCGTTGTGGAAGCTCCACATAGAGGCTAACATACTGTACAACGTCATTATTTCAGCTAAGTCATTTAGTCGGTCCAAACTGCTGGCTTGTCAGTTTTCAGTTTCAGAAGAATTACAGGCGTTTTCTCATTAGATCCTGGAGTGGATTGAATATTTATGTTAAGCTTTGACACGATACTATCAGGATTAAAAATACGACAAAGAAAAGGTAAATACGATTTTAGTGCAGGCTCATGTTGTCATTTTATACTTCAACACCTATCCGGTCATAACAAGCGCTGGGTTACATAATGACTGTGCCTCTGCGTCAAGGTTTCAAGTTTAGGCAGATAAAAGTCAATTATTTAGACACATATGTGGCACTGTTGTGTTGTATTTTCCTTCTAAAGTGAGGTGCTTCTCTTCTTCTCCTACATCATATCTTAGGGAACGCTGTTTTCCAGGGAGGTCAGAGGCAGCCTCAGCTACATGACATCACCTGCAAAGATTTCCTCAGTGATACATTAACCAACAGAAGATACCTAGCTGCACAAAATGATGCATTGTGCAAGGAAGACGGAGGGACATGAGAAGGGGACATTTCTGAGAAACGGTTAAAACTGAATTGGGTAAATAAAGAATTGAATTTGATGCAGAGGAAAGTAGGATGAAAACAATCCGGCACTATAAATATATAGATATAAATAAGGTGAGAGAAAGCTAATGTTGGGATTCACAGTGTGAAATTTAAAGCATTTTATCCATGCTATAAATAAAGGTGTATGGATGTGCATGCAGCACTTTAATGCTGCCGACAGCAGGAATCTTTCCTTCTACTGAAAAGTCTCACTTTGTGCCAATATGAGCTGACACACACACACACACACACACACACACACACACACACACACACACACACACACACACACACACACACACACACACACACACACACACACACACACACACACACCTGTTTGCATATCCAGGTGTGTACACGACAAAATGACAAATGAGATGTATGTGCCGTTTGTCTCCGCGTTATTAGGGATGCAATGAATGCAGGGATCATTTAGTCGACTCTTTTTGCTGCAGTAACATATGACTATGTGCTCTATTTCTACGATGTGCTAAAACGATCGCTAGTAGCAACGATGAAGATGATGATGGTCATGATGATGAAAGTATGATCTTAAAATAATTTGTTTTTGTTTTTTTAAACAGCATCCCCCCCGTCACAAATAGTGTTGGGCCGACGAGGCAGTTCCTCATTCACACCGTCTCCACGGTTACTGGGCCCTTTCTCATTCATAAGTGTTTCCATGGCAACAGGGACCTTGGCTCATTGATAGAATCTCGGTATCACCTTGGTAACAGGGCCAAGGGAGGAGCCTGATTGATTTGTTGTTTTTTTTGCTTTCTTTTCCCTTTTCCTCTTGAAATAAATGAACCACAAAAAAAAAAACACAAAAAAAATGTATGCACACACACATGCACATAAAAAGACACACAAGTGACACAACGCACGCACAAAGACACACACACATCTGCAGAGAAAACAGGCGCTGGTTGGAGATCAAACATATTGAGTGGGAATGATTTTATTCGCTTATGCTTGCTGGAAAGTAGGTCATTTGGAACAACCAATGAAAAACAATTCCTCCCCTCGTCACGGCCAGATGTGCCGTCTTAAAACGTCTTAAACACCCAAAGTGAAAGTACACACACCTGAAGAGGAGAGCACAAAAAAACACAAGCTGCATGGGCTGTATACGCAGAGAAACAGTGATGATTAAAGAGAATCACATTAAGGATTATTGCTATAACACAATCTCTTCGTCGACCCCGTCTCACGGGACACCAGCACATTACACAAACAGGTTTTTTTTCTTCTGCTCTCTCCGCCTGCTTTCTGCTGACTTCAGCTAAAATGTGGCTAATTATCTCCGTCCACATCACCGGGCCAAAACGCTTCGTCTCTTCTCCAAACTCCTCATTTATCCTTCCTCCTCTCGCTGCTGTCCTCTATCACCATGATCTCACCATTTTAAAATCGAATGTGTGAAGCATGCTCGTAAAACATGTCCTCATTCTGAATTAAAACCCCGACCTTTGCCAGAACAGTTAAAGAAAATGTCCACACACGGCTCGTTTGCTTATCCAGTACACCTCCAGGTCGCGACACAACTAAAGGAAACACACCCCTACACTAGTGGTCCCCAAATATTTTCTGCAAGCCCCCTCTTCACCTCGCCGTACACATCAACACACAAACATTCAACGACACACTAAACAAAACTTTTAGCACAACACACACCGTGGTCTCTCTTCATTACTCAGGATGGGGATCAATCAATCAATCGATACCGCTATTGACACTTATTTTATTTTTAGTGGAAAGATGATATGACAATATATTTTAACAGAACTTGTATATCGATTTTATATTTCTGGGAAAACCCTGAAAAATTGTGTTTTTTTTTGTTTTTTTTTACGTGTTAGTTTTGTTCAGTTTCTTGCTTCTGTCAGATATTTTGCATCGTCTGAGGAAGCTGCAAACTGCACCATTTTTCATTAAATGAATCTGATTGGTTGAAAAAAAATCAGTTAGGTGTCTATTAGTAGCTGTGACGTTTGGTGTAGAATCAGCTTTAGGTTTACCTGTAAGGCCTCCAGGTAAGTTTGGGAATCGCTACCTTAGACTGATAAATACAAAATATTTTTATCTGAACGTGACGACCGCTAGGAGTTTCATGAATTATTCACCATAACCTCCAAATTCATTTAAACAGGGAGACAGAGTTAAAGAAATTCAGATTTTCTATTTTTTCTCCTTGTTGTTATTTCCCTATTAATAAAACTTTATTAAATTTCAGTTTCTGTTCATTACCAGGTCACTTTTTCTTTCCGTCTTTCTTTTCAACTTTCCTGTACCAGACGTCTCCAATCAAAGAAGCTCAACAAGGAGAACAACAAGAAGGAGCAGAGTGAGCCAAGACCGGCTGTAAACTAAGTGTAATTGGACTAGTAATCAATAGTGGGCATAAAAAACAACTAGCTTATTCCCAGAGCCAAATCACACACACAATTTACTACAAGGGACAGGTCAACAACGCACACACTCGGGCACAGACACAAGCGCGCATACACACACACATCTGCTGACGTCCGACGAGGTCGTGGAGTGAACGGCTAATCCATTCAGACATGCTAAGTGCCATTTGTGTGTTTGTCTCTGTGTGTGTGTGTGTGTGTGTGTGTGTGTGCTGCTAAAGCGGAGCGCGCTACGAGCATCGAGGAGGAAATGGAAAGGAATGTTTGAAGTGGAAATGTGTGCGTGTGTGCATGCATTTGGTCAGTGTGTTATCAAAGGTTTGGTGGGCAGAAAGGCCAAGTAGCCTTTCATCTTCAAAAGAGCTGCACTGCTAAAAAAAAACAACCCCCATTCATAGAGAGCACAACAAAGAGTGTGTGTGTAGTGTGTGTGTGTGTGTGTGTGTGTGTGTGTAAAATGTATTGACTTCACGTGCATAATGTATCCCGGGAATATACAGTGCTGTAAAGTGCTGCAGCCTATTATCTGTCTGTAGATCTCACTGAAGCTTCCTGCTTTCCTGCAGAATCCTGAAGACGCAGATGTTTGACAGAGACGTGAATTTACCTCCTTTAAGCGTTAAAGTGCAAGGTCTACATAAAGTAAAATTCCTCATATGCGTAAACCTATTTGGCACTAATCCTGATTGTGATTCAGATTACGGACACCAGGCCCATAATGCCCTTGGCTAAACGAGACACTGATGCAGGCTTGGAGGACTCTCCGCTTCCTGCTCCCCATCTCACCACCTCCTGCTGTCTCTCTCGCTACACTCATCTTCTCACCCCTCCTCCTCCTCTCTCCTCTCCTCTCGTACAGTCACTGTTTGTGCCACGCTGAGACGAGCTTGGCTTCATGATTGCTCTTATTAAAGCATAAGGACTGACTGCCAGACTGTGCTGCTCACTCACTCCTCATGTGTGTGTGTGAGTGTGTGTGTGTGTGTGTGTGTGTGTTTAGAAGAGAGAGAGGGAGAGGGAGAGAGAGAGAGGGTGGGCTTTCTTTGTTGCTTTGTCAGCAAAGATGTGAACAGTTTATGTAACCCATACAGCTCTCCAGATCACCACATGCATGAGATACACGCCATGACCTCAACATATTAACCATGCCAGGAATTCTAACAATATTTTTTGGAAGTGACAGCGCTCTGTAACTTGATCTGTGATGTAGAAATTCACTTCTTAACTAACTATGTGCTTGGCTGTTTTAAGAGACGTGATGTAAAACTTTTAAGGTTGAAGAAGAAGAACACAGGTTTAAGTATGTTGTCAAAACTTGAAACAAACATCAATGGCCAGATTTTCAGCTTTAAGAAAGTCTTAAGACGTGCTGTGGACAATCTGACATCATAAGGCCCTTTTGTGCTTCAGTTAAAGGAAGAATGTGGGAGAGTAGTCAGACATAGCCTGCAAGACTCGGACAAGAAAGGAAGCTTACTGCCTCTTTCTTAGAAGTTGTGATATTTGACAGTCATGGGGATGAAGGGATGGAGTTATGGATCAGAGAAATGGGTTTTGGGGGAGAGAATCATGTTGCAAGGACGAATGTGTGCACCTTTTCTACATCACTTAAAACACCTCATGTGTGTGTCACAATGGTTCTGCTCGTCTTCTTTCTTTTTTGACTTCCTGTCAACCCAATCTGTCTATGTATGCAGATATAACCCCCTCCTGTTAGTCCTCTAATCTTTTTACAAAGCATCATTTTGCACTGCAGCATCTAAAACTACCCACAGATTCATTGTATGTCTTCATGCATGCTCACTCATCCACTGTGTTCCCATCACCCTTCCCCCCCGTCCCCCTTCCTACTTGGCTAACAGCACCTGTGAATTTTCTTACATCCTGTCTTCATCCCCTCTATCCAGCGTTCCCCTCTGTGCCCCCCCCCTCCCCGTCTATCTGTGTGTATATTGTGGTGACATTTGTTCGCGGCCCGGGCTGCCGGCTGCCTGCAGCTCTGCTCTGTGATCTCACTGCTGCCTGCACAGAGAGAGGCTGTTCATTAGAGCCGAGCAGCAGGAGAGGACACTCATGAACACACATGTACAAACACTCACTGACAAAACCTGATAACAACGATGTTACGTCTTCCTAATTGTGTAATTTTGCAGGTACAATGTGCAGTGTGTTGGGTGCATGCTCTGCTCGTTGTCTCGTCATCTGTCACTCACCCTGTACACACCACCACAAAGTCCATGACGTTCCACCCGTTCCTCAGGTACGAGTTTTTGTGGAAGGCAAAACCAAGCGCCAGGATCTTTATTCCGGACTCAAAACAGAAGATTCCTATGAAGTACGGCTCTGTATCATCCTGAGAGAGAGAGAGAGAGAGAGAGAGAGAGAGAGAGAGAGAGAGAGAGAGAGAGGGAGAGAAAATAAAGAGCAGAAGGAGTTAAATAAATTTAATATTAAAAAAAAGTAGACGTAAAGAGTCAAATATAATGTAATGATGCATGTGCGCATAGGGCTTTTGTCCGTAGTGTATTTGTGTGTGTTGTACTCACCAGGCGCTCAGACAGCGGCGTCTTGTCCCCATCAGGCAAATGTTGTTCCAGAGCCAGAACGATGCAGTTGGCAATGATGGTAGCTAGAATCATCCACTCAA